AATGAAGTATTAAAATATTTTACAAAAACCTGGAGAAAAATCGTTAAAAATTAATTTCACTTGGACGATTGGAAAGGATCGAATCGAAAAAAAGAAAATTTGGGCAAGAGGGGAACGAAAAGGATCAAGGATGCACTGTTCCAGGGAGGAAGGGGTAAGGGTAAACGATGGATGGAATTGCGCAAACGATGAAAAGTATCGCGATCTCGATCGAGTAAAGTGCAACGATGCAACTAAATAGGCCGTGGTCTCACGCTCGCCGCCGCGTCTCTAGGCTTGGACGGCGTCAAGGTTGGCAGGAGGATCGGTGTCGCGAGCAGACCTTTTCGCGATTTTGCAACGAAATCTGCAACGACACTTTCGCAACACAGAGCATTGTGCACTGGGATTCTCGTGCTCGGCGAAACAATATCTCGCACGGCTGACGCTCGGGCTAATGGACGAGAGCGCAATTATCGGCGTGAAATCAACGCTCGCGGGCCAACCAAACAGCTCTATTCTTCTTTCTTCGCCACTGTTCCTCGTGCTGGAAATAATGGAACGATCCGAGGGTGAAAGTCGCTTTTCGAAACGGAGGAATAGTGGAAATTAAAATTGAGAAGATTCCAAGGTTTTTAGGAAATTTCAAATTTAAGAAACTTTGGAATATCGAGAGTTTTTAGAGGAATTCATAAGTAGAATGTTATGAATCGTTTTTTGATCCATACTATCTTACAATTTTTGTAAGAAATTCAAGAAATCCAAAGAAACTGAAATATTATAAATTTAGAACTTTCGGAGAAAACTCCAAAAGGTGTAAAAAAAATTGCCACACAGCGTTGTCTTTGCGTATAAATGTACTATTCACTTGGAAAAAAATATCGCAGGACACCACACGCTATATAATAGTAGAAGAGTTATAACTTAAATATTCAAAAATCGTAAAAATTATTTTCATATACAAAGTTAAATATCTAAATTGTTATTTCAATTATTCGAATACAAAATTACAAATTAAACGTTACAAATCGTAATTAACCTACAAAAAATTTTCATATCATATCGATATCTTAGAATCTGAATACTATACCTAATGCTAATGCATCGAGGTTTACATACGAATCGTTTTCGTAGACGATATCGTCCTTTTCTGTCACAATCGAATTTCCTTCCAAATTAATCAGACTTCTCTCCACGAGCGAACAATACTCTCACCTTCGAGCTTCGATCTCGAATCCGTTAAAGCATTATCCTACATTTAATCATCGTCGAAATGACTGACCGATTTCAAGCGAAGGGCAAGGCTATTCGATCGATTTTTCCAGAATTCCAACGCGCCCAAAGCGGTTAACAGGGCCTGATCGTTGATGCGTGACGTCATTGATTATACGTTGCAATAATGCTTCACGACCAATTAAAATACACTGTTGGGTACACTGATATACTGCAAATTAACCGGCGGTACGTTGCCGCTTAATCAGCATATTTATTGCTGCCAGCCAACCGGCACGCAGAGAGAAGAGAAAACGGGAAGGAGGGAAAATGGAAGCGGGCAGGAGTCAATGTTGCAAATAGTTGTACCCAATTTCGACTCGAGACACGTTTGCGTTAATCCTTCCATTTGGATAACTCGGATACGGTGGGTCATATAACAAGAACCCTCGCGGCGAAGCTGCAACGTTGCCCTGCTAGTTTTCGTACGAGGATATATCGCTCGCTCGGAGACATAACCTTTACTCTACGCTATATCACGCTGCACGCACCTCTTCGTATTTCGTTTCGTTCCTTTTCCACGCACTCTTTACTTTTTCCAATTGGAAATGGAAACTCGAAGGATATGGAGTTGTTTCTCGAGAGAGAGAGAGAGAGAGAAAGAAAGGAGGAAAATTATTTCTTTGAAAAAACGTATCTTTCGAATAAATATTTCTATGGTAGAGAGAAGGAATGTACGAGAGAAGCGTGATTGGTGGATACATTATTCAAGCGACACGGATGACATCTGACGGATATTTATCCAATTATTATTGATTTTCCTCTGAGGTCGATTAGCTTTATCTTCGCCTCTCTCGACTTCTCTCGCTTTTTTTCATGCTCGAACATCTCCACGGCCAATCAAACACGTTGAACTCTGTACTATCGTTGCACGGAATGCGGGATATAATAATTCCAATGTTAAATTCTATCCTCGTCCTCGCGTTAAAAGTAAAGCGTTGGAAAGAAATGTTTATTCAAATTCTCTGAATTCTCCGCAACGGATTCGATCCGCAAGGGTGAGAGAAAAGGGCAGCGAAGAAAACCAGTTGGAAAAAAAATGGGTAGCCTCGCGTGCAGGAACACGGCCCACGCGGTCGCATATTTACGCGTCGAAGCGTGGAGCGTGGCCGCCCAGCCTCAATTTGTCCAAGTGTTTAAGCGCGCGTTTCGCGCGTTTCCACCTCGAAGTGACCGCCTCGCCCTCTGTCTATCGCCACCTAGCGATCTCGAACCCCGCGAATCCGCGAAACGCGAACGACCGGTGAACAACGGGGGATCGAGATAAAACAGCGTGCCACAACGAGAACACTCGCCCGATAATCGCGAGCGCAACAGCGAATTTAACGATCCGCCTATATCCCCCATTCCACCAGGAATGTCTCTCGTTTCCCCTAGATCGCGATCGAAGCTTACGACCGTCCTTCCAAATCGAAGTATCAAATATTCGATAAGAAATTTTACGAGGTTAATTCGAGGATGATGAATCTAGTTACGATTAGTTATTTTTTTCGAATTTTCTTTTACGAGCAAGAGTTACCAAATAGGAAATTTTTAATTTTAGGGTTTGAATCCTAGTTACCTAGTTACTTTTTATCACTTTTTGTTCGATCGAAGAGAGAATCTTATTAAAATTTTTGTTTTTTTTTTTTTTTTGGAAAGCATTCCGCAACGAACGCGAAATTCCAATCGTCCATCTGCCAATTACTATAAAGCCGAACTCGTATCGTTGGAAATTCGTCCACGCGAGCGGTACCGGCCTCTCTGGAACGTGACACCGCGTGTCGGCAACAGGCTCTCCAACTGTACCGGATTATCCAAGTAGAAAATGTAATGGAACGAGTAAAGTTTGCGTTCACGCGTCGTTGAACTCGACCGTAGGACCGGGCTTCCACCGGAGAACGGTTCACAGGGTGAAGGGGACGGGAAAGAAAAAGAGACAATGCCGTGGACGATGGAACACCGGTGCGATTAGGTAACCGTACAGCCATATCGACGCGCTCTCTCGGACATGGCGGCGTGTGTGGGTGTACGACAATACACGTGCAATCCCGGCCAGATAGGCGAACAGCGTTGGACAGATAACGCGTTGCATGGGCTCGTTCCAGATTCCAGGCTGAATCAGCCCAGTTTCCTCGAGGAGACGTCGTGAAATCGCTTCGAACCATCTAGGGGGATAAATCTGGGGATATTTTCGGTGGTGAAAA